TAGGGAAACTTATTTGTACTATGGAAAAAAAAATCCAATGACATTCTCTTAATGGAGTTATCAGATGGAAAGGTCCAAATGGTTTTGAATCTTAGTATTTTTCCATGTAAAAAAAGAAATAAGATCCTTAAACTGCGTATTCACAAACACAAGAACAGAACGATGAAGGAGGAAATGGCACAGCAGAAACATGGAACTGCTGTTGCATTCTAATTCTACAACTCCTGAGCTTCATTTCAGACTTCTTTCCAGCCCAGCCTTTACCTCCAGCTCACGGTACATTACTTTCTCGCTGTCTCTCTGACAGAGACAGAAAAATGTGAACAAAACAGAGTGGGCGTATGTTTGTGCCCGTGTGTGTGTGTCAAACAAACAAGATAATTTCATGCATTAGAAAACATGACAAGTACAATTTACGAATGCTTGGTCAGAGTGAAGCAAAGCCATGACTCAGCGATGCCACAGTTAACGAGTGAAGAACGATTCCATCCCATTCCATGTTCCGTACATGGCTAGATGAGGCTGTTGTACAGAGGCAGGAGGTTGTGCAGCCACTCCCGTATTACACAAATACACTTAGCAGGCAGCGCTCAACAAAAGGGTGAGGGCAAGAAGGTTACAGCTCCCCAAGGCTTCCTAATAAATCCACCTCTGCTCAACATTTTACATAATGATATAATGCATTAGATTATTATAAGCAGTGACATCATAATAAAATACCAGAGTGCTACTCAAGTGGCAAGGAACACCTAAGATATATTTCTATACTTGTAATTCAGTTCCTGTATTTTTTAATTATAGATAAGAATTTAAAGTGAAAATAATTATTCATTCCATAAATACTGTTGTAATGGATCCCTGGCATATAATTAAGAGGCCTGTAATTTTAATTTTGTATACTGAACGCCCGCTTTTGGAGGTATTCCATATTATATATTCAGGGCCTATACCTGCAAAGCTCTAAGCTTCTATTTTAGTGGAAGCTGAAGATGCTGCGTGGTTTGCAAATTTAAGAACTTCGCTTTTGTAACAACGGATACAATAACATGGCTGCATCAAACATGTTGCAAGGCATTTTCCTTCCTTCTAATTGCGATCTGTTTCAATCGTGCTGTCGGTGTTCCTTGGCCCATCTCAGGTTGCAGCACCATTTTCTAACCCATACTTGTAATACAGCCAGTAATGACAGAGCATCTTCTTTCTAAGGTGTCCGACATCTTAAAGAGGGAAGCTACCATCACCGCGTTCAGCATTTTCTAGAAACTGATCTCTTTGATGGTAGAAAAATAGTTAGCCTATAATCTCCCTGATAATGTGAAAATGGATGTCTCCAGCTATTTGCAACTGGATGTACAACCTTTCAGCCTACAGTGAAGATTAAAATCATTGGCACATGATTATTACTAGGTGAGGATAGCCTTTCTGAAAAGGTAACTGTATTTCTCAATTCCAGTAAATACAGACACTCACATCTTTAAAAGTACAACAATAACTGGCACCTTTTTGGCAGACTCAGCAGGCAGGTCAAAGATTGTCTCAGCACGTAGAATGAATTAATATTTCTCTCCCAAGAGTGGGTCCTTCTAGAAAAGGCTTAAGGCAGATTGGTGGGGCATTCAAAGGAAAGCTGGAGAGGGGGGTGAAGACTTGTTTATATGAACATTTTTCAGATTTAGATCTAGAAACTTAAGTCTTTTAATGTTTTAATCTTGTATGAAAGACTCTGCCCTTCCCTATCCATTCCTTATGTGTCTGGTCTCCTCTATAGCCCACCAGACACATCCTAAGCTGTCTTCCCCCATTTCACTCCATATTCCCACTCTGCCTTTTTTGCAGGACTCTGCATGTCCCCATCCCTGACTTTAGGCCTTTGTCCCCAATTCTTTTTCTTTTACTCATGTTTCTAAGCCCACTTTCCTCACTCCTCCTACCCCAGTTCTGAGTTTCTCCCCGTGTTTTAGCTCCTTATCCTCTAGATTTAGCTTCTGCGCATCTGCTGCTTGCTTTCTCTGAAGCCCAAAGGAATTGCAGAAGACCCTACTCTATTCCAAGAAATACTTTTTTAATACCAGCCATACTTATAGTGCATGTAACGTAGGAAGCGCCATGTTTCCTCCACTTCTTGCTGCAATAGGGTACAAAGTGATCACTTTGCTTTTGTCTCCTTGTGCTTATAAAAGAGTAACAAACGTCCCTAGTGCTGCATCAAGTTGGCATTGACAGTTTACAGTGCTTCTGCATTCAAGTCTTCTCGTTTGGTCATGCAGACACATCTGCGGTATAAAAAATTCACTCTGAAGAGATTCATTAACTATTTGTAACTAGCCTGCAAGTATTTAGTGCTAAATGAATAAGGGTAAAAAAGTGAATAAATAAATAAATAACAAGGGTTGAGACAGAGAACATATAACTGACTTAAAATGTAGTCTTCCTGATGCCCTGATACAGTTGCCATCTCTAACAGGTATTGGGAGGACTACTCCGTTTTCAGTGCCCTCATAGGCATAATACGGTGACCTGAAAAGGGAACAGCATAATTCTCTTCTCACTTTTCTTCCTGTTTTGAGCCTATAATTGTAAATGGAGGCTGGTGGAAGTGGTTTGCCTTGCTGGCTCCTCACAGACAGATGTAATAGCAGTGGCTGCAACTTCTGCGTGCCTGAAAGAATTAGTGAGCGTTGTGCCTCCCCATGATTCTCCTAGACATTGCGTTGTGCCTAGATGGCATTCTCACCCAGAACCATGGTTTACCATTCCTCCGACAAATAATGTGGTACTCTCTGCTTAGCCTACATTCAAATAATTCTAGTCACTTAAGAAAACATCTAAGAGGAAATAAACACCAATTAAGGCACAGCCACTTTAATACAATAAAGATCAGCTTTGAACATCATTTCCTTGCTTTCTATCAGATAAATCTCCCATTTTTGAACATTTCATTTTGTACTTAGATTATGTCTTCTCAGATAAGCTTTAAGCATTACCATCTGTTCTGCAGCAATCACATGATCCTATCACTTTGATTCTGTGGAATACAAATCCCTTTGACAATAGGGAAACAGCAAAATAGCACACATTTGTTCCAAAAACTGTCACAACCGTAGATTCTTCAAGGGCTGCTTTATAGTAGGGGTGAAAGACTCGGGGAGACTCTCCTACACACCTCCTGTCTGTGCTCCATACTGTCCAGGCAGCATTCTGACACCGAAGCTTCTTGCTTGCTAGGGGGATTGAGTCAGTGTTTCAGCTGTGTTCAGCAGCCCCAAGGGCTGAAAGCTTAGCCAGGGCCCCATGCCTCTGCATGCCTGCTAGCATTTGGAAGCAAATCCTGAGTCAGAGGGAATACACCTTTCTCTTGCAGATGTAAGAGCACTATAGTCACACCTCTCAGCAATCTCTGAGGCGTTCTTTCTGCAGCTATCCTCTGCAGGCAACTGGCCCACAGCCACTACAGTTGGCCACTGCAGCAACAGATCTTCCCTGCTGGTTTCTAGGAGAAAGACAAAACCAGAGTTTGTGCCCGCTATTGTGGCCTCATCTATTAAGAGAGCTCCAGTGAATAGCTAGTGCATATTATGCAGATATTTGGAGCATTCTTCTACTTAGTATAATTTCCCCATTAGAATGGACCCGTTTAGCAGAAAGTGATCTTATTCAGATTCAAAATGCAGAAGACAGTATAAAATATTTCTCTTTAAGATCTGAAAGGAGCACAAACTGTACTATCAAAGTAACTTGCAGTTCCTAGCTTTGCATATGCAGACAACGTATGTAATCTGAATGAATCATCAAAAAAGCGTGCATTGCAAGTCTTCTCACTATGTTCATCTACACTCCTCCTCAACAAGGTGTTACAAATACCATATCATTCAGAAGGTAATGTCTCCTTATTTTCACTCACTGGATAATTCTCAGAGGGAATGTTTCAGCTATATTTGTGGTTGAACACATGGACAGGTTAAACTGCTGTATATTGATATTTATAACTGATTGAAATTTAGGCTATTAATTTATTATGAAGAAAAATATAGCTATAAATCAATGTACTATAAATTCTAGCTGAATTTGGTATTATGACTCTTCTAACGTCATATAATTTACAGACAAATGCAATATTTCATTTTCTCTTATTTCAATGGCACTGAAAATTCACTGAAAATTGCTGGAATATGAATTTCTATACAAGAACTTTGAGGGTGAGAATAACAAAATGCTCAATTTCAATGGTGCAAAGCCAAAATGTCTTGGACCATGCACCATTCATTTGCATTTTAGAATCTGTTTAAACTTGGTGTTTTCTCCAAGTTTGTAAGCTGTTTCAATAGTTAATCTGCAAGCAGCTGGTGAATATAAACCTCTAAGAAGCATGCTATCTTTTTTCTATCAAGCTAAAAGGGAAAGGGTGATTCATTTTAAGTGTATTGATGATAGAAGAGCTCTGAATAGCATTTTATCTGAAATACTCTACTTGAAAGGAATGAAGTGCAAGTTAAACAAACAGTAACAATGAATGCATTTTTTTCAGGGGTGGTCCTCTTGGAAAATGTTACCACATTAAAGTAGGCAGTTATTGAAATATGCAATTAATTTTAAGTTGATAGAAGTTGAAACTGTCATTCACCTGAGCAGGTGGTGGAAGAACCTTCTTGCATATCTGCTGATTGGGTCCCTGTACTCCAGCACGGTTGTATCCAAGAGGGGTCTTGTTGGAGCATAAAAGGTTCCAAGGCTTGCCTCAAGCTGTGCTGTGAAGTTCAAACACAGCAGCAATGAAACAAGTGAAATTGTTTCAATTACAACAAGTTGCTCATGTTTGCAGTCAGTCAAATTCCTCAAGCACTGATGAAATTTGATGCTGTTGTAGGACAGATGAAATTCAAATACTACAGATTGTATAAACACGAATGCGCATAAAAACTTTCACTTTGAGGCAGAGTTGACAATGACGTTGAGCAACAAAAGCTGTGAAAAGGATGAAGAAGTCTATAACACATCAAGTTCTCACTAGCAGCATACAATTAAAAGTGACTCATAAGAGTAATACAGTTTGAACAAGTTTGTCCAGTAGAGATCATCTTTATTAACTCAATTAGCTCAAATCGTCTTTGTCCTCTTAGGCAAACAACATGGAAATTCAGTTTTTCAGGGATTATTGTGTTAGGTGAGCAGGTGACAGAACACTTCTTGTGATGGCCTTGAGGTCTAAGGAAGCTCCTTCAGTCCACAGTTCTTTAAAATCTTTAAATAAAAGGATCTAGAAACCCCTAAGGGTTTGATTCCCCTGCAGTGTGTAGTGATGGGAAACAGGATAACTGCCCTTGTAATCAATAAAATAAACCCCTTTTGTTACAGAAGTTCTCTCCACTTTAAATACTTGTTGACTGCTATACTCCACAGCTGGAGCTCTTAAGCATTTTTCTACATGTTTTTAATAAAAAAAAAATAGAAATAATACAAGAAAATACACAGTATATGTTTGTGTCCCATATGCTTAGCTGAAAGGAAACTTCATGATCAATAATATTTATGTTATGTGACTTCTGCTTGACAGTTAACATGCAGTACAAGTCCTTATAGGCAGAACAGGGAGAATTTGCTATATAGGTTCACCCTTCAGAGTGAATGTGCAAACTGCTACTGCTAATCAGAATTTTGTGGGGGCTTTAAAAGCAAGGTATAACCTACGGTCTCATTAGGCAGACAAAATCTCATTGATTTGCTGTTATTAATGTTTGTTTGAACTAGCCATTTCTGTATTTAGTGATAATGGTTCTTTATTTCCAGGCATAGTTACATTTTATTTTATTAGGCTTGATAGCACTAAATGTGCTAATAGTACTGTGTTAGGAACACAGGCAAACTGTTAGTAAATTAGGTCTTGCGTTATCTTAAATCTAGACAGTAAAATAAGTTGAACTTTAAAGGTATTTTCTTTCAAAGCAGCAGTCAATTTAGATTAAAATTGAATACAGCAGTACCTTTGCAAAAACAAGCCATACTCCCTTGCCATTGCTGTTTTACTGACAGCATGTTTTGTACTTCTGAAATATTTCAACGTACATGGAATACAAGTAACTACTAGCACAGTTATAGATTCATTAGATAGCCCAGCTTGATGTTGAAGGCAGAATAAAGATCTCAAAGATAACTGCCCCATCGCTATAAATATAAGGCCTCACTGGGTTTTGCTAATAAAAAAGAAAATAAATTACCATGCCAAATTTGTTAGATTCATATAGAGTAACTCCTGGACAGAATGAAATTCTGTCTGCTGTAAACACTGTTACGGAGCTACATGGGGGGAAACACACAGACATTTATTTATAATGTGAATATTTTTACAAGAGTTTGAAAACCAGCCCTTTTCATGGGTCCTTTTAAAAGTATGTTTTATTTAGAATTGATATGCTATGTTTCCAACACAGAGATTTTTTTTTAATCAGATCCCCCAAAATGGGATAGCTGATGGCTTGGCAGCAAAGTAGGACACCTTGGAGTTTTTCTATCATCAAACACACCAGAATCCTAAGTATTCTTTCTTGCCACAAAAGATGCTTGGTCCCCAGCTGTCTGCCTGCTAGACTGGAGGATAACACCGTCACTAAATCAAGGCACATCAAATCTTGAGTTTCAAGATAGACAGCAAATCAAGAGGAAGGCATCACACCAGGCTTCAGCAGACACGAGGCTGAACCTAAAATTCATCATTTCTTGTGAGGGAACCCAGCTACTACTGCAGGGGGCCAGAAGATTACAGTGAGGACAAATGCTATAATCCTAAAGGAGGCAGCAGAGGATAGTGTATTCAAAGCTTTTGGATCTTGTAATGAAAGAATGACCCTTCAAAAGCACCTTAAAAACCATACTAAAATCTCTTATCCCCGTTGCAGGAAAATGTCCCTCCTTAAGTTGGTGCCGTCTCGGTGTGAATATATTACAAACATCTGAATCCTGTGTTAACTAACATTAGTCTGTAACATAAGCTAAATTTACGTAATGTAGTAAGTTACAGCACATATAGGATAGTGCTATATATATTGACATGCTTATACCATATATATATATATATCTCAAAATATGCATTATTTTAGTATCACTATTGATACGAATGAACTAAAATGCAATCAACACATTGATCCGGATTTTATTTAAATATCTACATACGATATTTGATTGTGGAGAACCACAAGCTGGCTGACTGCTTGTTTTCTCACGACTGTCTTCTTTATGAAGTCAACAAATATATTGCCAAAATTCACATACGAATTACAAAGACACCACAAAAATGGATTAACAATACACTCAGTCCCTTACCTTCTCTGTCTGGTGTAAGTTTTTGTTTAAGAAGGTGATTAACAATGGCACTCAAGCATATGTAACACTGATGACCCATTGTATTCCAGTTCATGGTGTTCAGGACATTAATTGCCTCGTGTGTCTCATCGTAACGAATGTACTGCTGGATGATTTCCACAAGGCCCAGCTGTCCTCTTGTGATCGCACCTTTCATAGGAAATATTAAAAACAAAGATGGTGTTATGAGTATGTAAACCAGTAGCTGACTACTTTTCACCACAGTTAAAAATAATTGATCTTGGTTAAAATTAGGAAGATTACATTAATGGGTTTCACTATTAAATTTTTAGATGAGATAGCTCCTTATTATCTTGGTATATTTAGACTAAGGGTGCTTTGGACAGCAGAGAAAAATCATCAGTGAACTTCACAAATGGAGCCTGAGTGAATGTGGCCAATACCTACTAGTGACAACATCGTGTAATGAAGTTTGTTTTAAACATGGTAGAAAAAGCTTATTCCCAGTTTTATCATTATTGTAGTGGAGGTAATAAATGAATGTTCCTAGCACCTCTTTCCTGTAGTGAAACACTGTTGGACAACACTAGAAACCAGCATTTGTCTCACCAAAACATACCTATGTATACAAGTTTACAGCAGCTTGAACTTCAAAGCAGCAGTTACTCGATCAGTCTCCATATTGCAACTGTTCTAGAACTTACTTCCAGGTTTGCAAAATGCTTCAAGTGAAGCATTTCTTCTCTGAGGGGATATCATGAAAGGTATCAGCATTTAGGGAGCTTTGAATTAGTTGCGCATGAAACCAAGAACATGCCTGCCATAAGGGGAAAAAATGAGCAACACATCGCTCACTCCATGAGAACATGATTTATCCACAGCACTTTATCTCTGAAAAGTAGAAATTAGAAGACTCTCAGACTTTCTTGACTTGTAGGTCTCAGCTTCTGCACAGAAAAGGTGACTAAAAAGCTGCAGAGAGTATTGTTATTTATTGTCTCTGACCACCTGTATGATCATGTGACACAGGCCACACACGGCATTTTAGCAATTCTTGCTTGCTTTGGGTTGCTGTACTAGAGTGTTCTTTATCACTATTGCTCCAGATATTAGAAACAGACCAGAAGAAATTGACTGTTTCCCTCTCTTTAAATAAAAGCATAATATTATTTTTTTATTTTCTCGATTTATATTCTGATGGTGTTTGTCAAAGCTAATTTTAAGGAAAAAATTCCAATGAGAAAGGGAACAAGCTGAATTTCCATATTGATATTAAAGCCATACGACAGCTGGGGGAAAAAAAGTCTGATAACAGAGAAAAGCAGACCTGATATATAGAACACATACCTCACAAAATTTTTATAAATGTAGTTGTGAATATTGTTTGTGATGTAAAATAAGAATCAAGGGAAAAAAAATAGTAGAAGAAAACATCTGGCTATAGCTCAAAGACAAGTAACCTGTTGAGAACTTGCATATACAGATCTGATGCTTTGGAAAAAAAAAAAGGTTAAATTTTTATTTTTCATAGCAGAGAAATACTTTAGGTTTTTAGTATCATTAAAGAAAACACATGGTTCTCTATTGTATTTCACTTTACTTTTGCATGTATTAAAGCCTATGGACATTGTACTGTGTAATAGCCATGTTTAACTTGTGTATATGTGATAATATCTAATTGTTATGGCAGACTTTATTCTTCCTAAATGTTTAGTGTTTTTAAAGTATTACATAAGTTGGGCAATCTTCACACTATTCACTAAGCGAAGACAAAAATACTTACTTTCATGATAATTAAATGTAATACTATATTTAAAATGTCTTTCGAGGCCAGCAGTGATGAACCACTGGCACCAGTACCAAGTTTGGCATTCTCCAAGATCTGGGTTGACATCAACGACAAGAAGCCACAATGCTTTTGAAAATGAGTTTGGCATTAGACACCAAAAATATTTGCCATTAATGTTTGAGGGTAAATTTAATATGAATCTTTTCCTGAAATAAATCTGGCTAGACAGCACAATGGAGAATTCACAGAACTTGTCCAAAATCGTAATATGTCAGCTGGAAGTTAAAAATATATTTGCCTATTGTTAAGAAACTATGTCAATGACAGACTTTTATGGGAAACAATTCCAAGCCATGAGTTAATTATGGATTTTATTTCAGCCCTGACTGCCTGTCTGGGTTTTGCCATCATGGACCCCTAAATTTTCTGTATAATTTATATTTGCCTTATTTCTAAAACAGCAAAGACCTAAAAACTGCTGAGGTTGGGAAGAGGGGCTGACTGATCAACACAGTGTTACCTTGGTAGTGTGGCAAACTGAGAAGAGTGGTACAGCTGAAAACAAGGATGCAATAGAGAACAGCATATTTTTGCACAGTGGACTACAAAGAGGGAGGGAGGGAGGAAGGGATAAAGAGAGCTTTGCCTTCTTCCTAGAAGAGATTTTACAGTAATTATACAGAATGAATTTTAAAATGTGATAACTTTCAGCTGTAGAGGTCATCATCTTCCCATTTGGATACTTGACTTCTCCTGGGTGGTGCGCTTCCAGGCAACCTGCTTGGGAAAAAGGTGACAGCCAACTCACTGCCTAATTGATTTAGGAACGGTGCCCAGGGAGACAGTCCAATTAAGTTTACAAGCTGGCAATTAGCAGGAAAGGCCTCTAAATCCCTGCACTGAGAGCCTCCTTGCCTTCGTAAGAACATAAATGTGCTAAAGATAGCAAGGGGAAAGCTGTGCTTTCTGGAAAGCTGTTGTGAGAAAACCCCACAAGGGAGGACTGAAGAAAAGCAAGGTAGATGTGGGTACAGTGCCTTTTGCTTGACAGGTAAGAGGTAATTTAGAGGGGGTTTTTTAATGGCCAACATGCACAAAAACATCAAATAGCTGTTATAATTAGTGTTCTGGGGTACTCTGCAACTATTAAACCTGTCATTGAACATAATGCAGCTGAATTATCTCAAAATAAATGATAACTTGTACATGGTTTTTTAATAGTTTTTTTGGATAACAGTAATAATCTGGATCAGCTCTTTTAAAACAAGTCAATCCAACATTTTTGTTGCCATCATATTAATTTACCTTTTTGCAGTGGTATCCTTAGTTGAGTTTTTGTTTAGGTCTGCAGTACTTTTAGACAGGATTTTCCCCCACAAAAGCACATGCATGACTCAGTAACTAGAGAAATAAAGTAGATTTTCAAATCTTACTGTCACCTTTTTTCCTTTTTTTTTTTTTTTTTTTTTAAAAAAAGCTTTCTTCCTAATCTCAGTAGCTTTATACAAAAGAATAATAAAAAACTCCCGTAAAGATCTACCAAAGGCAATCCTGTTTCCTTGGACAGACAACGAGCAAAATGCTGAAATTTTCCAGGATGAGTATATTCGACATGGCTGTCTGCCCTGCTGAAGCAGTGGCTTGGTAGTCAGAAGATTTAAGCATGATTGTTTTTTTTAGCTCTCACAGTGGGTTTGCACCACTGTAACTTGCCTGTCTTGAATGGAATGAATACCGTTCTCATTGATGAGCAACTGCAGGGGTTTTATTCTTAGTTCAGCCACAGACTTGTTGTGTAACTCTTGGAAAGACTTTTAGCTTTCCTTTACTGCTTCTTGTTATTCTGTTTGTAAAATGAAGATAGTTATGGTTTTACTCTCCTAAAATCTCCTTACACCTAAGATGAGGAGTGCTATATAAATTCTAAAATTAGTATTATTACTTCTTCTTCTAGTCACAACTCCTGACAAATTAATTGAGAGACCAAACTTCTCTGAAGGTTATGAAAACCTTCCTTCTTGTGTGAAAAGTCTTCAAGGAAAGAAATGGTGTCACTTCACATACTGAAGTCAGGAAGAAGAGAGTACTGCGACAAATATACATCGTAATGGAAAGGACAGTTGTATCATGCACACAAATAATTTAGGAAAGAAAACAGCATTACTATTCTATTATTAAATATAGCTTATTTTAGTTTGTAAGGGGTATTACTGCAGAATGAACACAATTCCTAAAATTATATACTACACATTAAAAGGATTTTCCATATGAGAAATTGTTATGCTTCATTAAAGTAGCAGAGAACCTAATGGGACCCTGATCCAACAACAGAACAGAGTCCTAGTCTCTCAGAACCCATATGAAAAGATACTAAGTAATTGTGAAACGTAATGAACTCCTTGGTTCACATCTTCAGATATCATTGGAACTATGTGCTTTTAAGGCTATGGTCCCATATATCTAAAACAAGGGTGTTTCAAACTACAAAAACCTTGTGAGGTACCGATGTTGCCCTGAGAGCTCAAAGTTCAATAGATATGCTAGTAACTTACCAAGTTTAAAGTGAAGTACTCCTAAGGGTCCTTTGTCGAACCTAACCAACAAAAGATCATGAATATCTGTGCCATCAGTGCTGGCAGATGCAACTTGAGGAGCAGCCCACTGGATCTGGATGAGGCTGCTAGGTACATCGAAGTGTTTACTGAATTGCAGAGTTGCCTCAGGTGAATAGTCTTGTGCCAAGAGCTGAATTTTAATTGGGGACAGTGCCGTGTCAAAAACTTGCAGCTCCCCTTGAGAGCTGCCAACCATGAATATGGCTCCGGAAGGGTGGTAGGTTATTAAAGCAGGCAGCAGTTCTGCTTGGGCTAACAGAGTCACTTGGTTGTAGGCTTCATACAGAATTATTGATAAATCTTCACAACCCAGGACTAGTTTGTCTTCAGTAACATCTCTGCAACAGCTGATGGCCTTGGATCGCAGTGGTATTCTGGTGACTGTCATACACTGAATTTTGTTCCTAACACACTTGTAGACGCAGCTGTCGGCCATGGGCTCTTTGTCAGCAGACACGGAGTGTTCTACTGTGTAAATCTGATAAGGCTGATTAGTGCTGAAGCTAGCATCAAGTGGATCCCATTCTGTATGGACGTAACTCAGAACCTGAGAAAAAATCCAAAATGTTTTGGTAGTCATTTGTAACAATTTATTCTTACTTTGGTGATTTAAAAAATCAGACTGCTGCAAATACACTTTCTCATGGGTCAGTAAGCTAGAACAAATACACATTTTAGAAATGGAGTTGCAAAATCTACTGTTCTAACTTCTGAAAGATTAATTCCTTTGATTAAAAAACCCTGCAATATAGTTTGAGCCATATTTGTTTGTCCAGAGTATATAAGCAGCTAGGAGAAGATAAAAGAGAGGGGATGGTCCTAACAGTGTCGGTAAGAGGAGAAATGAACAGCTGACTGATATAAAAGAATAACCAATTATTCACAAGTGGGGTGGCGGAGAAATCCCAAAACTTCTGGAAAAATTTATGATAGGTTACTCTGAGCATCACACATAGAGGATTTTTGATCATTTGCTCTGGGCCATGGTAATAGAAAATACTACACTCTAGTGTTAGGAACAACAGCATGTTTAAACAATGTCCACTGTACATTGCCAAATGTGTAGGTGGTAGATGTTCTTGGGTACCATATAACTTCAGATGCAGAATAAATGAATTTTTGACAGCAGAAAAGGGGGACCATTTGGGGACACTTGAAAGTTGAATGAACTGGAAGAAGAACACAAAGGCAGAACATGATACAAAAACAGCAGCTGTCAAAGAGCAAGAATTTGTAGTGTGGAAACATGGGAAGTACCATAAAGTGATGGAGGAAACCAATGAAGATTCATGTCCTACAATATATGGGTTTGTTTGAGAGGTGTTGTGCAGGACCCAAGCAGGGAAATTGTGGGAGAAACACCAGTTGTAAATAAGTTACAAATTAGCTTATGAAAAGCTATTTCTCTGAAAGAGAGAGAAAACCAATGTCTCTAGAAGAATGAGAGTAGTGGAAGACAGTCAGAAACTTGCTGGTGTTTGTTCATGCAGAAATAAAGAGTGAAAGGAAAATGTCAAACGGAGCCAAACCCCACCCTCAGGTATACCCATAGCATTCTTCACACTATAAACTAAAGCTGATGACCTGCCATTAATTTTGGAAGCCCCGTCTTTTGAGGCCAGGTGGCATGCAAGTACCATTTACACAGAAAGGGGTAACAAATGTGATTAAAAGGCAGAGAGAGGGCGAGAGAGGAAATCTGGAAATTTCAGGGTGAAAACAGAAATGCATACATTTAAAGGAGTTTAAATCTGATTTCCACAGATCACAAGACCAACTGAACACATAATTTAGCCTTTCATCCTGCAAAGGAGAATAAGAAATTAAATTTTTTTTTTTTTTTTGGCATACCACCCATTACTTCAGAAGCAACTGATGAATTTATAACCAAGTTATTCGGGATGTTGATCAGACTGATTAAGATGTTTGGTTCTGACAGTTTACTTATTTTGTCAGCAAAAGGGTTTCTCATTCAGATGAAGGAAAAAAGGATTATTGCAATTCTGTGGCTGCAAACCAGCTGCTGGTTAATAGAAAATTCTTAACTACTTTAAGATGAGTAGTTAGGGACATGCAAAGAACCACTTAATGCAAAAGCATCTAGCACAGAAGCCAATGCATCCAACTTGTGAAAACCAGGTAACCAATTTCAACAGAGTAGTAGTGCTCAATGACAATATATACCAAAGAGGAAATAAAAGATTAAATTAATTACATAGTCTGAAAAACATTTTCTCACCTTCACCATTCCCTCACCGATGACTTAGACTCTGCAACTAGCCATTTATGCCCACAAAATGTGCAGTGGCTACTATGCAGACGTTAGAACTGCTGAAATGTGTGGCTTATTAGTGTGTTAACTTGCATAGCAAGGAAAACTGTAAAAGAGGTTATTGTGGACAAAGGATTACTGTGACCACAGAGCTCTCTAACTCCAAATAAAGACAAGGTTACTGTTTGTTCTGCAGTTTCCCCTAAAAGTATGTATAGAGGCCTAGGTAGCTGCCTTTCAAATACGTGAAATAGAAATCTTGCCCAAGCAAGTCTTCAAAGCTTCCATAACTTCAGTGAAATGAGCCTTGAGGCCCTCTGGGACTCAAATTTCTGTCTTCCTGTGGCAGGTTTCAATGCACTGCATTATTCATCTACATATTTTGATCCAAACCCAATGTTCTTCTCTGGACACCTCCTCACAAGCTACAAGAAAGTCATGAAGATGCACACAATAATCAAGCCTATGAGAGATGAAAGACTGAAAGCACTATTAAATTCTGAAGACAGACTGGCCTTGAAGGTTAAGAAAACAGAGAAGAAAACACATGAAATGTGGATTTTACAACTGCATAGGAGTGACTGCTGGAAAACAGCAAGGGAAATAGTCACAGAAAAATAAACATTGTCATCTGATCATTTGAGAGTCAGCAAGCAAACTGAATCCAATTAATAATTTTGTTCTGCCTCGTTAGAGCAAAAGCGGGACAAAACATTGCTCACTACTTTGAATTTAAGAGGAAGTAAAATCTTATCTTTTGGATGGCTACTTTAATGAGCCTTGAGATGAGAAGCTTCCTAGGTTCACACAATTTTGAGCAAATCCTTGAAACGAAGTTTCAGGTAGGGCTGGTTGCTGTATATAACACAATTCTAAACTAGGAAAAAGTTCCTGTGAGGAGAGAAAGACTACTTGCTGCATTTCAAAACATAGGTTTTGACCTAATGTGTAAACAAATCAGGCTTAAAGGAAACTTTTCAAGACGCTACGGTTCTTATGCTGGCTGAAAACAAGAGAAACATTTCTCCTTAGATTGGAACAGATAAGCTGCTTCTCATGCACCAGCGGCCTCATGTGCCTCTTGGAGGAAGAGTACCAAGCCGAGAGACCTCTTTGTTCTGGTTTCCAGTTTTGCTGAATGTAACTGGTATTTGGCACTGTGAAGGGGGAAAAAGAAAGGATATTCTCTTTCATCTGAGAGGGAAGATTTGAGTTTCTCTGTCAGAAATTACTTTTATTATAACTGGAGAACTAAAGCAGAGACACATATGACTACAGAAACATGTTAATAAGGCTAAGATAATGCTTTTGAAAGATAAGAAGTCTAACAATCAAAACATCCTTTTTTTTTTTTTCCCCAAGAAGATGGTACTCCATTACCTGCCAATTGTTTTTCTATCTGGTAAGTAGCCACATGCTAGTAAATGTAGTGCACATAGTGCTTTAGTTGTCCATTTAAGGAATCCGCTGGGATTCCTTCCCGGTGAACAGTAGTTCTCTGGAACCCTAAAGGGGAATATTAAAATAACAACATACATTTAAGTTAACAAAGCATCTGCTTGGGGAATGGGAAGGCAAAAGCCGGAGGAGTTCCCTGAGAACAGGACAACTGTAGGATTTGTGGTGGAGGGGACAGGGCAGTGGATCTAAAAAGACAGAGCCGTAATATCACACGGTGGGGCGCATAATCCATTCAATGTTAAGGACTTTCCATAAATCTTGGATGAAGCACTTAGCCTTGGATTTCAAGGGAAGATTTCTAGAAGTGCTTTGCATGAAGTAAAACCAATTACGTTCTGTAAAATAAATAAATAAAATTAAAATTTTAAAAGCCCCTTTTAGTTTTGTGACATGTATGCTGTAAAAACATAGCAAATGGATTTAAATATTGTCCAGATAATTTATGCATATTTCCCTTATTAGTGTGGCAGTCATGCACCACTACTGCACATTTATATTGTTTTCCGTTTGCAGTACTGGTCTGTGCTCTGCTATCAGCTAATCAGCAGTATCAGGGATACTATACATGTCAGGCTCTCAAATCCTGGAGTCAGAAATCGTAACAATCCAAGTAAAAGAATCTGTTAATCTTTGTAAACAAGAGGCCTGAATTATGCTAGTTAAAATACTTTCTTTCATTTTATGTTTGAAACAAACAATAGCACTGGCTTGTGCGGGCAGTATCACTCTTCTCAGTGCAAATCTTTGAACACTTAAAATTGAAGTATTTTGCATAGAGTGCTGGGAAAGGATAAAGTCCACATATCAAAACAAGTAAAAGTTTTAACCAGTAGTTCTTAAGCAGAAAATTGGCTTACCAGGCAGATAAAAGAAGAAAACAAAAGAAACAGAGAAACAAGCTTGCTGTGACTGAATTGTGTGTCTTTCAGATGAGAAAAATGTTTGATTTATTTTATGGATGTTAAAAAAATGCTTATTTAATTTCACACAGTGAGGCTCCAAATAACAATAACACTTTAATTAGAAACATAGAGTGGGAAGTGTAGTGTACACTAGAGTAAAATAGTTTTAAATACAGTGCTGTGAAGATGGAAGAAAAACAACAACCCTATTTTTAAACATTTCTAAAATAAAAATGCAAAGCTCCTACTCTACGTTACTTATTTGGCTGCATTATATTTACAGTCCCACATGCAATCTTATTATTTAGATTTTCAGCCAACATTTGTTCTTACTTTCTTTCAAAATTTATCATCATCATAATCTTTATCCCACATTACTCACTGAACTTTTAACCCATGTGACATGCAGGATTTTACATTCTTTGCTATATGTGTGTGAGAGGTATTTCAGCTATTCAGTCACACACGGGAGATGTTTTTCTGAGTGCCACAGTAACGGTAGGATAGCTCACTCATAAAGATCTGTTGTGTTTATTTCATAGGTTTGAGGCACAATGTGGAAGCTGTAACTATTAAATATTATCTCTTGGGAGAAAGAAAAATAATATTCTCTCTCAGGCAAATTATTTTTTCCACAAGATTGAAGTATAACTTCAGTGATTTGCACTAGCACTAAATCGAATGAAAATAAACATGGCAAAGACAAATGCAAAGTACTACAGTAACTGAGCCTTGGCGTCATCACCTCCTGTTAATTTATGTTTTCAGAATAAACTTCATGTTGATTTTAACACAACTTTCTCCCAAAGCATTTAATCCAAGGATGATTTCACATCAGATCCTATTTATTCATAGCAAATTGTTTGAAACGATTTCTGGAAGATTCCTCTTCTGGTTTTGAAATCAAAATACCAGCATTATCTCCCCAGGGAGACAATTTAAATAACATCCTTGGTCATTGGTACTTTAACAGAAGAAACAAGCAAAACTCAAATAATTAAATAAATAAATTGGAGAATGGATGAGTTTACTGGAAGAAACCAATGCACGCAGGAAAGCAGACAAAGGTTCAACAGACAAATACTCCTGCAGCAACATGCATGCATGCATATATAAATGTACATCGCGCACCAAAGCAGAGACATACGTTAAAGAGAAAAACACTTTTATTTCTTCAGGGGACAATTCCTCACCAAATCTTACAGCATTCAACACAGTAAACACTGATCCCAGGAAAAAAAATGAAGGGAATAAAACAAGTGAAGATTTGCAAGGCGAAAGTTCTTTCTGTTTAGAGGAATAATGTCTACCTTTAGTTGTAACAGTAGCAAATGTTAAAACATAAAGCCACACAGCACACTTCAAATTAAATTTATAGTGTATGTAAAACGTATTTCCCTCATTAAGTTGGAAAGCTGCTTAAGTACACAATACCCCAAACACTGTATGTGCAATGTGAATCATCCCAATGCAGAACGTGTAGTTACGGGATATTGTCATGATGAGGGGTGGAGTTGCCTTGTCCCAGAGCTATTCCTGTCCTCATCCTAATAAGCACTCTTCTGGCAGGCAGCAAATATCACTCAGAAATTTCTTCCAGCGAGGAAGTAGTATCGCCTAAGTGCCCCATTTACCTTTGCTCTGCCACAACAATAAGAGTGTCAGTAGCTGTCAGATCTTTTTGTGGTTTTCGTAGGTCAGCACCACAGTGCTGTAGAATGGCTGTGGGTAGCACACATCCATTTCCTCAGGCTTGGTTTACTTTTTCATAAACAGGCTAGATAACGGGCAATTCCCGCTTTTCTCTTTATTCTAGATAATGATGCTGGTTTATCCAAGTGATACTACTATTTTGAAGTAAAATGTTGGTGGCATTATTTTACGACACTTCTTTTTGATAAATGCTCCAAATCGAATCAGTTCATGCTTCTCGTTCTTCTTCTGTTGACAATAATAATTTACTGGGAGAAAATTCATATTATTGATCAAATATGACAAATACAGATTTAGTTTCATGCATAACAACGGCATGTCACGTTTTTATTCCAGGTCCTTTATATCTGAGGAACACTACAACTGGTAAAGGCAAACTGGTAGAGACAAAGAGAGGCAAATAAGCATGCTTACAGAAACACTGTACTTTTGTGGTAGCTGACCTAGAGAGTAACTGTTTAGAAGCTGTTTAGAAACACAATGTTTTTGCTCATGTTTAAGCTATCAAATGACCCTCAGAAGTTAAAGGAGTTAAGTTAAAGTTCCCCTCCAAGATATTGTGGGGGAAAAATGTACCTCAGTTAATTGCAGACTGGGGGTTGATGCTACTTCTAGAGCTGCTGGGTTATGACATCCCCCATCCATGCATGAGCATTTAACTGCTGCCCATTAAGAGTGCTAGAGAAATCAAGAAAAAACCAAAACCAAACAGTACCATAGGTTACATGTCGTGGATACATAGGGGAAGCTTATAGGCAGAGTACCTTGAGCTTTACACAGCAGTCTACTGAGCATCCAAGAGATAAGTACATGAACAGGCTCTCTGACAACCAGCAAGACAGTTTGTTATCTATATATGACTAAGTTTTCCAAAGCCCTGGAATAGTGCTTGGTAGTTTATTGACAAATACAGGAAAAAAAATTTCATCCGAAGATCTTAGAATTAAAACAGACAAGTAGAGGAAAAGAATCAGAAAAGGGAAAGCAACTGAACAGTTAAATTTGGCAGTTCTGCTTTTAAAAATAATTTTCTTACATTTATATTACAATATGGGCTAAATTAGAAGGATTATGAGTTTAGCCCTAAAGGCTCAGTGAATGCTTATTATCATTATTGTGTTAAGCACCAGTGATGTGCTTGGGACTATACTAGACAGCCTCAGCCCTGAGCAATTTAGAGTCTAAATCAGAAAAGGATAAAACAAGGTGTACTGAAAGATGCAGAGCAATACTGTAATTTGGAAATCTCCCTATAATATATAAAATGAAACAGGGAAAGCTTTAAACTGACAGGGTGGTTTCTGTGAATTTCTTACAAGAAATGCGTCGCTAAAAAACATCTCAGAAAACAGAGATTGCAAGCTGCTATGTTGGCATGAGGGACCTTTCTGGAAGACATGGGAATGTCACTGTCAGAACCCGGACATACAGAAGTCATGGTAAGAAATAAGATCTGAAATGTTAGTGGGATGAGGTTTCATAATAGCAAACTGGCACAGGGACTAGGCTGAAAAAGCTTACAAAGAACAGGCACACATTTTAGCTACCAGAGTAATTTTTATATGTGATTTGGCATAGCTGCAGGAGGAATTGAGAACTGCAGGTGTATATCAGGCAGAGAAGAGAGATGAGTCAAAGATGACCGCTAGTGGAGAGAGGTCAATTGAAAAGAAGTAAAGAAGGCAGAACTGGAGATAATTTAAACTTAAATTCTACAGTGACTAATGACTGAAATAAGAAAGAAAAGCTGTCTCAACTGCCTCTTCTCTTTTGCTTTCAATACATAGAAAATCCCAATGGAAAAAAACCTCATTGAAATTAATATTAGTTACCACAGTAATAATTCCAAGACATTAAAACACTTATATCTTCCCTAATTAAAGAGAACAGGATGTTGTTT